TAGTGAAAGTTTCAGAACATATGATCTACAGCAGCTTTTCATATAACACATACCAGAGAAAATACAGCACCAAAACACGTTTCTCTAGCATCAAATAACGTCTAAACTTAACTCAGAACCGCTCCCACACTCCAGCACAAGGGATTTAAGTGATAATAATAATAATAAATGTCGTCAGTGTCCTGCTCTAAACGATGACCACTGTCCTACTCTCTGACTCTGTACATCAGTTCAGTCTGTCAGAGGTCCTGAACAAACTGTCCCAGTGTCCCCGCTGTATCTCTCCCTCCTCTGCACACTTCATTTCACACAACACCTCACATCACTGATGTTAGCGGCTGTAACTGGCTGAGGAGGCTATAATACTTTTAGACACAACTATATTATCAACCAAATATTGGCTCGACCTGTTAGCATAACACAGGGAAATGCCGTTTCCTTGTGTAATAAAATATAAAACTCCCTCATTACTGTCAAATCTAACAGAGGAGAGACAAAGAATGAATGATGGGGAGTATTGTGTACATCATAGGACACACGTTTGTGATATGTACCTGTGAAGTGCCATAATATGACAGTTATCAATATTGCTCATCACTGTGGCCCCTGTCCCCATCTGCCCCCTCCCCCCTGTATTTCTCACTCCGTTGGTTTCTTATTTGAGGCCTCTCCTTGATCGACTGCCTGTCACCACTTTCACTTTCCTCCCTCACATTTAAGAGTACACTGTAACAACCCACACACCACTGCCGCAGCACATTCACTGTTAGCTCTTTCAAACACTTCTGCAACACTACATCATCAGCTGGTTCTTTCATTGTTCATCACAATTAACATTGTACCTGCTCCACTTAATAACTGCCCTAGGGCCCCCAAAACCCCCACTTCACTATGTGTAAACCAAGGTTGTTATAGTTCACTAAAACCAAACTAAAAGCTAAAACTAGATGTGAAAAATAATTTTAGTTAAGTGAAAAAAATAAAATAAAATCGACTTTGGAAAAACAAAAACAAAGAATTTAGTCAAATTTGTCATCAATCATGAGGTGGTTTTGGTTCCTGTTTGGATCAGGATGTCTGCATGACTTTAAGTCAATGTGTTTGTTTTACAATACCTATTCTGAACCTAAATCTTGCCCTTGACAAATAACCCCATATTATAGTAAAAAAATAACTAAAATGAAACATTTTCAAAGAATTAAAACTAAACCAAAACAAGCAAACCCACTCTGGAAA